GAACCCGACAATGCTGACAGCTGCCGGGCGACATCAGAAAGGTCAACCCACCTGCACAGGTGCAACATCCTCGTTGCTTCCCTCACTTCTCGAGACACCTGGTCTTGTCTTGGCCACAAAGTGAAGCTAACCCCCGCCATGGGACCGCCTCCCCGGAGCCTTGCCGTTTATTACCCAAAAGCTCGCTGCACCTGCCGAAAACCTTGACCAGCTCATCTCCACCTGAGCCAAGGCCAAAACTCCAATGAGCGGAGCCCCTTTGAATCGGACCACTAGTTGTCTCATGGGAGCCGGGAGCCCGGGCGCCTTGCATTTAGATTGGCAGCTTTTGGCAAAAACTCGCAGATACCCACTGCGCTGCTTGCACGAAGACCAAATCACCGCTCTCCAGCACCCTCCGTGCGATAGGCCAAGGCCAACTCTGGGAACCCCAGCGGCCCGCAAAGACTAAGCCATCCTTCTGCCACTGCGCCAAGTCTCCGGAGCGGTAGAAGGTTTGTCCTCAAGTCCAAGACTCGCCTTTTTGATTCTGGGCAAGGTATGGTATGGTCATCACTCGCCGCGTGCCCGCCCTTCAAGATACGCATCCCCGATGTTCGCCGCACTTTGTTCTTCGGTTCAACGGGTTTTGGCATTAAAGCTGACCGCTGGGTCATCGCGGCACTCGTGGGCTTGCCAAGTCCATGCAAATATTGTTCTGTTTGGCAGAAACATCACGCTGCCTGGTTTGTACCTTGGCTTTAGCGAAACAACCTAAGGGGCGCAAACGGATGTTGGAAAGGCTGCCCACATGCCCTGGAGTACATCGAAGTGTGGCGCTAAGGACTTGCATACCGTCCTCTTTGAGAGACAGTAGAAGCTAAAGCTGCCATACACAACTGAGTGCTGGTCTTGTCTCAGTGTTCATTTTGTTTAAACACATTCGCATAGCAAAAATCACACGCAGCACTCTGCAGAAGTTCACGCAGCACTCTGAGCTGGGTGAGTTCACGCCTAGATGGAATTCCAGCGCTTGAAGTAGCTGATCCCTTGCCTCGAGACGATGTTTCGAAAGCCAAACCTCTATTTACCTCCGATTCATTGGAAAAAATGGATGGCCAAAACCTGCGATGCACGTGGCAGACCCAAAGAAGTTGCTGGAGACTGAGGCGGCCAGCATTCAAGCTTGCCTCCCCCGTCATGGGGGCATTTGTACTTGTGAGGGGTAAATGCATCAGCCAGAACAAATGCACCTGATTCTCGGCTACGATATAAAGCAGCAACTGTGATTTTATCATTTTCGCACTGACTGAGGAAACAAGGAAAACAGTAGTGACTGAGTGTTGGCTTCTTTTTTAGGACCGAGACAGGGTAAAGGATCGAGGCCAACAATGCAAACTTGCAATTGCCACCCAGATACTTCGCAAAGGTAGCATTCTCGTACAAGCCCTTCACACGCTTGCCCATCGACTGAAACTCACCTGCCAGCTGGGATCGGACGCCATGAACCTGCCTAGAAACGAGCCCGATATGCGCGATAGCCTTGCGCTCTCTCATGGCTCCCAAAATGCAGCTAGGCTTCTCTTCGAGGGAGACGTCGTAGATAACCACTCTTCAAACCAGTACTTGACAGTTCCCATCATCGCCTGCCAGCAATCCCCGAAGAATCGGCCAAAGTGTGGGCTCGCACAGCTTCCCTAGGCCTGCTCGCTGTATCCCAAGGGCGGAAGAATCTTCACCTCGAAGACTCCAGCATTTCTCCCAACACGTACCAAATCTGCCAAGCGGTGAGAGCGTTGAGATGCAAGTGTAATAGTGCACTAAGTCTTGAAAGTTTGCACGAGCGGTCAGGTCGAAGGATTTGTCTAAGCGTGCCAGTGTGTTGTGTGTGTGTGTGTTCATACTTCCTGCTGGGAGCCTACCCTGCAAACGAAGCCAACCCTGAAAGCAACAATCAACGTGCAAAAGAGCTCCATTCATCGCCTACGGCCGGTGTGACGAGTCTGGCGTGTTCAATGGCTCCTCACACGTGAGCAACGTGTATACATGTGCGTCTGCTTTGCACTAGGAAACATGCCGTCGCCAAAACCCGCCCGTCTATGTTTTGCCAAGATGGCGATGGTGAAGACCATGGGTGAGACAATGAACTCGATGAAGCCAAGTTGGGATACAGGGCCTTCAGTCAAGCGACAGCCAACACTCTCTCGGGTCGTTCAACCCGTTGATCAAGCCGGCAAGGATTGTCTGGCTCAGCACGTAGCCAATGCCATGTCAGCGCAAGCAACAAGAAGACCTGTTCGTCTTCCCAAATGTAGGCCGAATCGGGCACACAGCACAAGCATATTTCGTTTGATAGTGCCCCCAAAAGGCGCGAAATGTGACACTCACGAGCATAGAAAGGCATCGTGAACATTGTTTGAGAGGGTCCTTTCAAGACCCAAATGGAAAGTTGCTGACCGGTTCGTCTTCCCGAATGTAGGCCGAATCAAGCACAGTCTATTTCGTTCCATAGCACCCCGCATGGCAGGCGCGAAATGTGACCTCACGAGTATAGAAAGGCATCGTGAACATTGTTTGAGAGGGTCCTTTCAAGACCCAAATGGAAAGTTGCTGACCGGTTCGTCTTCCCGCATGTAGGCCGAATCAAGCACAGTCTATTTCGTTCCATAGCACCCCGCATGGCAGGCGCGAAATGTGACCTCACGAGTATAGAAAGGCATCGTGAACATTGTTTGAGAGGGTCCTTTCAAGACCCAAATGGACAATTGCTGACCGGTTCGTCTTCCCGCATGTAGGCCGAATCAAGCACAGTCTATTTCGTTCCATAGCACCCCGCATGGCAGGCGCGAAATGTGACATCACGAGCATAGAAAGGCATCGTGAACATTGTTTGAGAGGGTCCTTTCAAGACCCAAATGGAAAGTTGCTGACCGGTTCGTCTTCCCGAATGTAGGCCGAATCAAGCACAGTCTATTTCGTTCCATAGCACCCCGCATGGCAGGCGCGAAATGTGACACTCACGAGTATAGAAAGGCATCGTGAACATTGTTTGAGAGGGTCCTTTCAAGACCCAAATGGAAAGTTGCTGACCGGTTCGTCTTCCCGCATGTAGGCCGAATCAAGCACAGTCTATTTCGTTCCATAGCACCCCGCATGGCAGGCGCGAAATGTGACCTCACGAGTATAGAAAGGCATCGTGAACATTGTTTGAGAGGGTCCTTTCAAGACCCAAATGGAAAGTTGCTGACCGGTTCGTCTTCCCGAATGTAGGCCGAATCAAGCACAGTCTATTTCGTTCCATAGCACCCCGCATGGCAGGCGCGAAATGTGACACTCACGAGTATAGAAGGCATCGTGAACATTGTTTGAGAGGGTCCTTTCAAGACCCAAATGGAAAATTGCTGACCGGTTCGTCTTCCCGCATGTAGGCCGAATCAAGCATGGTCTATTTCGTTCCATAGCACCCCGCATGGCAGGCGCGAAATGTGACACTCACGAGTATAGAATGGCATCTTGAACATTGTTTGAGAGGGTCGGACATGTGGGGTGGGACCAAGCCAAACAGTAGGGCTGCATTTCAAGACCTCAAATTGACTGGAAGCCATGGGAGGAAAAAATTGGCGAAGCCCTTCAGAACTGCGCCATGGCAGACAGGCGTGCGTTCTTGCTCAATCAGCCTGCTTGTTGTCATGTTGTTCCCAAACTAGCCTCGCTCATATTGACTGCGCTACCTGATGGGGCACGTTTGGGTGACCCCAGGTGCAACCATTTGTGGGCAGCTTGCCAGCGCAAGTGATAAGCTCCTGAAATGAGACGCAAAGACACAGTCTAAGCTTGCCGAGCTGCGGATGGTCTTGGATCGGTCAAGCAGTGCCGGCACTGGCAGTCCCAGCTCACTCATCTTGTCGCCTTGGAGGAAGAACCTCGGATCACCAGAAATCCCATAATTGAGTTCGACAATGAGGCTATGCTCGGGGCACAGTTGCAAAAGAACAAATCACTGTGGATATCATGTGGCAGGCAGGTTCCCAGGGCCTTTCAAGATCCGTTGCTTGCCCTTCGGAACTTTGGGCCTGTGAATGGGACTTCTGGGGCTTGCAGGCATGTTCTTGGTGAAGTTTTAACTAAGAAATCCCTACAAGCAACACTCCAGTCCCCAAGTCCTCCATCGCAGGTCAGAAAAGCGGACAGTCACAAGCGAGACGAAACGTGCACGACCGACCGCTAATCTGGGTTTTATGAGATGTTTAAAGGCAACCACTGCAGATGAGAAGCTCCTCAAGGATATTGTCTGCCCAAAGTCCTTAGTGCAGACTTGCCACTGATAGGCGTGGGCCAGAGCGTGAACTTGAATGTGCATGGATTCAGGATTCAAGCAGAACGAGCAAGCATTGGGCAGATCCATGTCAAGATGGGTCGGTGCTCTACCTAAGAGCACATCGCTTCTACCTCTGGTGTGCAGCCAAGGATCGTGCAACGGAAAAGGGCTTCATGGAATTAGAGATATCCGCAAAGTGGAGAAGGCAGTTCCTCCGAGCTGTTGCCCCCCAGGAGCCGATGGGCCCAGAAGCAAACAACCCACAACCGCCAGGCGGCGTTGCAGTGTATCACAGGTGGCAAGAACGAGTAATCCCTGAACCCTGTACCTGTCAGCTGTCAGCTGTCAGCTCGCGCCTGAGCGTGTCGTGGGTTTCTTTCTCAGAGAGAATTTCAGATATCTGCCGTGTTGGCCATGTTGGCTTGTCGTCAGAATTGGGAATGTACCTGGCATGCCCACGGTCGGCTTTGGACAGCTTGACAAATGCGCTTGACACGGCTATCCTTGAAGGCCAATCTGAAAGTTTCGACTCTCCGCAGCATGGGCCCATCAGGCCATTTATTGCCTGCCTTGCAACCTCCCCTGCCTGTTCAGAACATTCCTGAACTCCTCATCATGAACCTCGTGAATCATCTGAAGAGCTTTCACAACCTTAATCGAAGCAGGAGCGCCATGCAAGCCTTGCCTTGGCGCCCCTGCAAAGTGGCTAATGCTGAAATTGGCCAAGTCTGGCTCTCCCGTCTGAAGCTGGGTCAAAAGCGTTGAAGTGACACCCGTTGTCTGTGTGCAGGATGGCCTTGACAGATCTCAGTCCAATATGTGAAAGGTTGTGTCACTGCGTCAGCACACAAGGCTGCTAGGCAGTCTCATAGTTGTTCATGATGCTTACATGGGCAATGGTGTGTCGCCTTGTGGGGAGTGTTTTGGAATGCATATAAAACAAAAGGTTTGGAGGGTCCTGAGCTTTGGGACCCTACAAGCGGCCACTCTCGCCTCAATGCCCATCTTGCGGAAGTCTTTCCGCAGATCCATGCAGCCCACAACATCGGTGGCAGAATCTTCGAGGATTTCCTCAGTAGCCACCATGCGTCCACAAAGCCAGGACTTTTCCAGGCAATCTAAGTCAAAGATAGAACCATTGCTGTCACGGCTCGAAAAGACGAGCGCAGTGCATGTTCTCCAGAGGTGCGTTATCATTGTATCT